AGAGAGAGAGAGAGAGAGAGAGAGAGAGAGAGAGAGCAAAAACATGTCGTTTGGGGTGGAGTTAACGTCGTCTCCGGAGGGTCATGAGGATGCCAACAACGAACGGCTGGATTTGATTGATCCAACGGCTCCCAACTGGTCACTTCCCAGCGAGACTTTTCTCAGAGCAGCTGCGTCTCTCAAGGACCAGGTATGTTACATGTCGTATGTTGAGGTCAGCTTCGTAATTCAACACCTATTGTTGGTGAGATTTGAACTCAGAAATCGTTTCACCTCCTTTAATTTTTGGATTTTTATTTATTTATTTTTAAATTTCGGATGCAGGTGGTGCAGGCCACGTGGGAAGGAGGAGAGGATTCGGGTTCGGATTCGGGTCTGCGGACGGGTATGGTGTTGGATCCGACAGTGTATACGGGTTTGCTTGGTACGGCTTTTACGTGTTTGAGGTCTTACGAGGCAACCGGTAACCGGCAGGACTTGGTGCTGTCCGCAGAGGTTGTCGACAAGTGCGCGACCGTCGAACGTGCGTCCACAAGGTAAATTACGTTAAATGTATTGTTACAGGTCTTGTCGGTTGTGGGTTGTCAGTTGGGGGTTGGGGGTTTGGGGTTGGGGTTGTTATGGGACGTTGAGTTACTGAGCTGAAGTAATTACATTACATGTTCCTTCCGTCGGAAGTAGCAAGTCATGTTCCAAGTTTTTTCCTCTGCCAATTACATAGTCTTGCTTTCTTTCAAATCATAATTTAGAAGCTTTTTCTTTTATGTTTTCGACGAATTATTTTTGTCTATATATCAAACCTGTATCCATAAAATATTTGATGTTATTGTCATCCAACTGTAGATATTTTTTTTCTTTTTCAATTATGCAAGGACATTATTTGTCAGCTAATATATGCAATTCAGGTGATTCGTTAAATTTTAGAAGAGGACTTTATACAAGGTAACTTGGTTTTTTTAGCCGTAGATAAATATTTGGAGAATGCTAGCAATCTTCTCTCTAATTTTTTTTTTTACTTTCTCCCTTTTCAGAGAGTAAAGTGAGATTTGATTAAAATTTCAAGGGCACTACAGTAATAAGCCAATATTTTTTTTTTTGGACCTTCTCCCTTTTCAGAATTACATGTGTCACTTGCTTATCCTTAAAACAATGTCATTAATGTACCATATAATATAATTTTTGTTTTCTAAGTTTACCCTTTATTAAATACTAGCTTCTCTGCACGCGCTTCCGCGCTTGCGAGAAGCTTTTT